TTGCGAATCTTCCTCTTTTTGCTTGATGAAGATTGTCCCTGAGCTAACATCTGTGCCAGTCTCCCTCTATTTTATATGTGGAACACCGCTACAGTGTGGCTTAATGAGTGGTGTAGGTCTGTGCCTGGGATCCAAACCTGTGAACCCCATGCCACCGAAGTGGAGCATGTGAACTTAACCACCACACCACGAGGCTGGCCCCTAAAGTATTTTTTAATGTTATATTTTATTTACCTTTCAAAAATCTTTCTTAAGTTAGCCATGAAAAAAAAGAAATAAACTGTTTTTGGGTGGGCCTGATTATTAAAAAGATGTTATCCAGCTGGTTCCTGAATTTAAGAGAAAAGACTAAGCAAGATGAAGTAAGTTTACAGTAGAGCACAAAGGGTTTAGATTAGGTATAAATAAGATCTAATAGCAGTTTGATTTGTTTGAAGCTGTAGTGTTTTTCTCAGGCATATTATAAAATTTTCTTTAGGTGCCTTCAAAAACTAAAAATAGATTTTCCTCTGTGTTGAGTTAGGTAGCGTCTTGCTGAAGATGTGAAGATGATTAATTTAATATTATTTCTAATGTTCACTTCCACCCCAAAAGTTGTAAATCCACTTTGTAAGTCAGTCTGGAAATATTTATGGAATATGACCTCCTCATAAAAATAACAATTTTAGTTTTAAAATGTCGTGTTGTGTGCAGTCTATAGAATTGCAATATAATGAAATTAATCAGGTAAGAAGCTAGCACAGAAGTCATTGCTTAAAAATCTTTATGAGGAAAACCCTTACTTCCTATAGTTGTAAGTCTCTAAGTAATGTATAGAAGAGTTTCTTATTTTATTCCTAAAATCAAAATTCTTTACATCAACTTGTCATATTTGGGGGAGTTGCTTGAGTTGGAGTTTTCAGAGTGTTCCAATGTGTACCACTGTGAATTCTGCATTATGTATTGTTGACCTTTTCATATTAGAAAATGAAGCTACTGGCAGTGTATGCAAGTAGATGGAAAAGGCTAATGTACTTCTAGAACAGACTTCCTTCTATATCCTATGAGAAAATTCTGGCCTTTGATTTTTTTATTACTACTACTACTGCTGCTGCTGCTGCTATGTTCATCGAGCGCTTGTTATGTGCCAGGCATTGTTCTAGGTGCTTCAGATATATTAACACATTCAGTTCTCATAATAACCTACTGAATCTGTGCTATTACCATCCCCAGTGAACAAAGGAGGAAACATGTACAGAGAGGTTCAATAACTCTCCTAGGGACATAGAGTTAGCAAGGCAGAACCAGAATGCTTGGTTGTTTTGTTCCAGCATCCGTGCTTCTCCCAGCCTACGGTACTGCCTACTACTACACTGTTACACTGGCCCAGTTGTGAAAGCCTCTGTGTATTGCTGATTCCCTCATCAGGAAAATAGAGAATTTGTACAGTTGGAGAGGATAAAGAATTGCAAAAATACACTACTATGATTATAGTGTAGATTTTGATTAACTTTTCTTGACTTATAAAATTCTATGTCAGGAATTGATTGCATGTGAAACTTCAATAGTGTGAAATGACTGTTGGATCAACCTTTATAAGCATGTTAGAGAAAGGCAGAGATTAACTCCTGCACTCGACTCAGTTGCTGACAGAGAAGTACATGTGTAAACTACCACGCAGTAGTAACAAAGTGACTTGGTGAAGATGTGGTGCAGTACAGCAGAGCTGCCAGTAATTTTGATCTTCTTCAGTGCCAATTATTCAGAATTAGTGCATGAATGTTAACTTCATAAAATTAAAATGACCTTGTGTGATGTGGGGCTTAGTATGGTGGGTTTAGGAAACTGTTTTGGACAGGAAGTAGACATTAGAAACTGTCACACATATCTAGACAATCAGAATTGTTTGTATCAACAGAACAATTTTCAAGGAAACAGGACCTGACTCTGCATTAATGTTAGAGATCATGGAAACTACGTATTTCTTCTAAAATGTTTTAATAGAAAAATAGCCATAGAGTACAAGCACCAAGTGACTTTAGTATATCTGAACAAATCAGGATTGTATGAAGAAAATATTCAATGTAGTTAAGCAGGTGAATTCATCTAGTATATTACAAACCCTTGAACACATTGAATTTTAAGACAATATCATTCATAGCAATAATAATAGTAGTAACAACCACCACAACAACCATACAACTACTCATATTTATTGTGAATCATAAAAGTGCTGTATATGCATTATCTTATTTAACCCTTACAACAGCTCTGTGAGGTGGTCACTATTATTACCTCCATCTCACAGACTAGAAAACAGAGGAAAAGAGAGGATTAGTTACGTGCATAAGGTTACACAATTAGCAAGCATCGTTCATTCATTTATTCCATATTTATTGAGTGTACCTACCATGGGCCTGGCACTGTTCTAGGTAGTCAGGATTAGCAATGAGTTAAACAAAATCCCTGCTTTCATAGAAGGACCTTACCTTCTATGAGGGGGATAGATAACAAATAGGTAAACATGGAAACATGTAAGACAGATGGTAGTAAGGATTGTGTAAATAGTAAAGCCTGGTAAGGGGGAAAGCGGGTGTTAGGATAAGGTGCTTGGATGGGCTGTTGTCACTCTTTTATACAGAGTAGTAAGGGGACCTCTATGATAAGGTGACATTTCAGCAGACACCTGAAGAGAGAGAGGGATATTTGTAGGAAGAGCATTCCTGGCAAAGGAGAAGAGCTCTCTGTGCTTGGTGTGCCTGAGGAAGATCAAAGAGGCCATGTAGCTGCTGTGGGTGAAGAGTGAATGGTCAGAATTTGAACCCAGGTTTATCTGACCCCAGAGCCCACATTTTAACCACCACACTAATCTGATGGGGCAGCATTCCCTAACCTACTGTGATCTTGGTGACAGTCTGTATTATTCTCTGGAAAAGAGGAGGGCAGTGAAGTTCTAGTCTAGAAGTTCTATGTGTAGAGCTGAGAGTATGTGAGAAATCCCTGGGGAGAGGGATTTTGGAACTCCCTGGGGAGTGGTTTGGGGAGGTACTTTGGAGAATAAAAGTAGGGAATTACTGTGGACCATACATTTGGGAAACTGGGAGTGTAACTTCCCTGCTCAGGATTCTTCCGTGGTTCTCTGTTGCTTTCAGAGCTTTAGAGAAATTAAGTAACTTTCCCAAAGCTCCAGAGCAAATAGATCTAGTTGTGAATGGCGATAAAGGCTGTGTTCATAACTGCTAAGCTGTGCTGCTCTTCTCAGAATGTGAAATCAATCACATGCTCCTTGGGGTCCATCACCTACAGACTGAAGTCGACAAGCCTTGGCAAGAAATGCAGGGCCCTCGTAGAGTCACTCACCTTCTCTTTTGTCCTTACTCCTACTGCCCGTCCCCTTGCACCTCAGCATGGAGCACAACGGTACTCCTTAGTGTCATGTACCTAGGACCTAGGACTTTGCACATTCTGAAATGTCCTTCCTCTTGTTTTGTGATGAAGATTTTATATCTTCCTTGAATATTTTCTTGACCCTTCTTCCCAGATTGAGTTATAACTTCTTCCCTTGGCTGCTTTTGGAGCTTACATATCTGTGTACTTGCTCATCATTTCCAGTAGAAATCCTTGAGTCCTTGTCCTCCCAGTCAGCATTAGAGCCCCTGCTCTGTGCTACCAGAGAAGTCTATGCAAACACTGATCTGCCTCTTACCACACTTTTTTGGATAATTTCTTTGCTTATGTGTCTGCCTCTTCTTCCAGACTATAAGTCGTTGAAAGCTTGTGCCTTGTTTTTATATATATCCCAACCACCAAGAATAGGACTTAAATTAAACTTAGAATATTAGATGCTGAGTTATAATGAGGATAGTTTTGATCAGATCAAAACAAGTGGAATATGTTGAGCAGTAATGTTGGTTCACTCAGAAAAAATAGATGATGATAAAAACACTACTATTTAATGAAAGATTATTATATGCCAGATATTAAACTCGGTGCTGAAATACATCATTCCATTATTCTAAATCAAATTCAAACTTGAAAGATATACTTTATTAGGTATATAACTTTAAAGCTAAATTAATATCTTATTAGATATAACTTTTAAAACTAAACTTTAAAAAATGCATTCATTTTCAAACTATTGCTGACTGGATAATAGGATATGTTAGGGGGGCTTTAAGTGGAGGTAAAATGTCCTTAGAAAGGGACAGAAGTCATCTTTGTGTCTTTATACTCAGTTTTTAAAATGTTACCACAAATGTGTATACTTGGCTACATGCAGAGATCTTCCGGAAAGAACACTGTAGTTATTTATAATTTGGACATGGCACGTTGGGAGAGACAGAGGGCTGTTGGAGAAGTGAGCCCAGATGAGACCCTGCATAATGCAGTGCTTCATGCCGTTATCAATAGTTAATTGTAAAGCCTTCATTAAGTGCCATCCTTACAACCTAAGGCCCAAAGTGGGCTACTTAAGGCCATGGTTACTTAGCCTAATTCTTGATTTTCATTCAATAGGAGACCTACTCATTAGGATTTCCATTGAGTAATTTTCGAACAGGATTCTCCTTGCTAATTGCTTTGTGTTTCCCATACAAGTATGTTTTCTCAAATTGATACGCTTATACTCACTAATAAATCATTTTTAGATATGTATTTAATTTTGGCTTTAATACCATTTATATGTTTCTCTAGCAATGTTGAATTATACTCTGAAATACTTGTAAATCCAAAATCTCAAAAAAAATTTATCATACCGTTTTCCCACACTTCTCATAGCACAATATAGCTTTTCTTTCCTTTTTTTGGTGGGGTTGGGGCTTGATTTCATTGTCTCCTTAATTTCTCAATATTTTGTGCTGATGGAAATGGATTAGATATTCTTTATTTAATCTAAATACTTAGAGTCCAAAGACTACATTAGTGCTCAAAATAAAAGATATTTAAGAAATTATTTTGCTTTCAACTCTTTCCATTATCAAGTAGAAATTCATTTTAAAGCTCTTTTGGTGGTTTTATTGCAGTGACACGGCAGCCAAAGCCCTGTGGGAAGCTTTACTGAACACCAAGCACAAAGAAGCAGTGATGGAAGTCCGGAGACATCTAGTGGAAGCAGCAAGCAGAGAAAACCTGCCAATCAAGATGAGTGTGGGTAAGTGTATCCACTTCACCCAGGACAGAGAGTGACTGCAGGCTCTGAGGCGGTTTATCTGAGCCTGCTCTGAACTGTGGGCCAACCTAGCGAGCATGACATCCAGGTAAAAATATTGAAGACATTTGTGAACTGTTGAAAAAGTAGGGAAGGAATATGTACACACTGCCCTCAGCAATGACCTCTTTTCTTAGACTCAACTTTGGGAACTCTAGGAGAGTCCTGGCTTGCAAAGAGTAATTATTTCAGTTTCTTTATATGATCTAGACTGTGAAAATTGGTCTGGACCACCTCCCCTTCATTCTGTTCCACCCCTGCCCTTCTCCTTTCCCCTCCCCCCACTTACTGTGGATAAAAGATCTCTTATTGGTTTTGGATTAATGAATGAACTACTATACTGATAAAACAATTGAGCAGTTGGGTATATTCTGGCCTGGCCCCTCACCCTTAGTGTGGTCTGCTAGTTGTCCAGTCACATAAGCATTGTCTCTTCTTCACCAGCGTATTACATATCTCATTTTTCTCATTTCTCATTTTTTTCACATTTAGCTTTGTCTTTAGTATTAGAAGAATCTGGCTGCAATGGAATTTAAGTTTTAAATGGCTTTTTTTCTTTTGATTAAAAAGTCAGAGAGCTAATGTTTTGCTTTTAGGAAAGGAATCTGGTGGGGCCGGCCCCGTGGCTTATTGGTTAAGTGTGCGTGCTCTGCTACTGGCGGCCCAGGTTCAGATCCCAGGCATGCACCAACGCACCGCTTGTCCGGCCGTGCTGAGGCGGTGTCCCAGATACAGCAACTAGAAGGATGTGCAGCTATGACATACAACTATCTCCTGGGGCCTTGGGGAGAAAAAGGGAAAAAAAGGAGGATGATTGGCAATAGATGTTAGCTCAGGGCCGGTCTTCCTCAGCAAAAAGAGGATTCACGTGGATGTTAGCTCAGGGCTGATCTTCCTCACAAAAAAAAAAAAAAAGAAAGAAAAAGACAAAACGGATCTGGCATTTTACTTTTTTGTTTTTTTAATTAATTTTATTAATATGGAAATATTTTTTGTTTTGTTTTTAATTATTTTATTGAGGTCATATTGGCTTATAACTGTGTAAATTTCAAGTTATATTATTATATATCAGTTTCTATATAGACTGCATTGTGTTCACCACCAATAGTCTAGTTTTTATCCATCACCATACATGTGTGCCCCTTTACCCCTGTCGCCCTCCCCCTACCCCCTTCCCCTCTGGTAACCACTAATTTGTTCTTCTTATCCATGTGTTTATCTTCCACATATGAGTGAAATCATACAGTGTTTGTCTTCCTCTGTCTAGCTTATTTTGCTTAGCATAATACCCTCAAGGTCCATCCATGTTGTCGCAAATGGCACAATTTTGTCTTTTTTAATGGCTGAGTAGTATTCCATTACATATATATACTACATATTCTTTATCCATTCATCTGTTGATTGGCACTTGGGTTGCTTCCACGTCTTGGCTATTGTGAATAATGCTGTGATGAACATAGGGATGCATAAATCTCTTTGAATTGTTGATTTCATGTTCTTTGGATAAATACCTAGTAGTGGGATAGTTGGATCATATGGTATTTCTATTTTTAATGTGGAAATATTTAAATATTGATATTGAATCTGGTTAATAGGTAGAATTTATTTCTGGAAACTTACAAAAGTTTACTTCTCTATTTTAAAAGTAAGATTTTTCTCTTATAATCTGTTCTTAGGTATCCAATAAATATTAGAACATTATACTGGGTGGGAAAATTTTTCCTTGCTGATATTCCTAGCCCAAGTTCTTGACTACTTATGAGTATAAAAATCAAACTATCAAGTTGAAATAGAAGAACAAAATTTTGGAAGTAAAAAAATGTGGATGAACCTAGAAGGAAAAAAGTTACTGGGTCATAATATGAAAAAAAAACCAATGACTTTCAGTGTGTTAGGTGATTGTATATGCGGGTTTAAGGAACATAATGATGATAAGAAAAGTGAATGTAATTAACATTTACTGAGTACTTATAATATGCCAGTTTTTCTTCTAACTCTTTACATGTGTTACCTTATTTAATTCTCACAGTAATTCTATGAGATAGGTACCATTAGTATCTCATTTTTCAGATAAGGAAACTGGAATAGAGAAAAATTAAGTTGCCCAAGGCCATACATCTGATAAGAGGAGGGACTGGAATTCAAATCCAGGCATTCTGATGTGAGAGGATATGCTCTTTATTTATAAAATCATCCTAATTCCATAAAACCAATACCAGAAGTCCTGTGTGTTGTTTTGGAGTAGAAATAAAGTTGCTAGTTTGAGAGCATCCTGGCATTTGACTGTTAATTCTAGTTCCTTTTTTCCTTCCTTCCTTCCTTCCTTCCTTCCTTCCTTCCTTCCTTCCTTCCTTCCTTCCTTCCTTTCTTCTTTCCGTCCGTCTGTCCGTCATTCCTTCCTCCCACCCTCCCTTCCTCCCTTCCTTCGTTCCCAATTCTAGATACACATTAAGAACATGTCTGTTTACTTTATAGAGTTTCTCATCCTTGAGTGTGTTGAAACAAGAACTACTTCGTATTGTGAGTCAAGAAAAGTAGGAATGCACCAAGCGTCTTGGTGATAAGGTTAATTTATATTGTGTTTCAGTGATATAACTTTATGATGCTATCACAGAGCATAAATCAATTTTTATTGCTCAATGCATGACTCTTGAAAGATCAACATACTTTACTTTTCTAAGGGGCTGTATCTTTTAAAAATAATCAGAGCCAGAAATAAATTTAAAAAAAAGACGGGTAACTTCATAAGGAATTCAAATTTAAATGTTTGAGTTTTCCATCGACCAAAAAAAAAACTTAGATAAAATGGTTGGCTTTATCCCAAAACTCCAGACATGGGCGAGGGTGGGGAGAGAAAAAAAAAAGAAGGAAAGAAACAGACAATTGTTCGCAAACTTTTGTTGTAAGAAAGACCAAAAAGGTTAACCCAAATCACACTCTATCCATGTGCCAACTATAATTTAGTAAAAGATAACACTGCGGCTACCCACTTCTGCTTCATATCACTAGTCAGAATTTCTGATGTGTCTCATTTCCATATACCAACAGAGACATAACCATGAACAGTGAAGAAAAGAGCTGGAACTTAAACATAATAAAACATTGGTATTTGAAAACTCCTTATCATATAGCTTATCGTAAAAAAAAAAATCGTGCGTTGGTATCTTAGATGGCTGGAATGTTTTTTCCAGCAGCGTTTAAAACTATGAAATATACTTTAAACTATGATCTGTTCTCCCAACCCCTGCTGTAAATTCTACTGAAGTATAAATTTTTCTGACTGTGATAGAGGCTTCTAGTACTTTTGAGGCATTAAACTGAAATGTTAATTCTAGACTGAGGATTCTCTTATATTTGAATTCACTGAGAGGGATCCCATCATTGAAACCTCAGATCTTAAATATAAAACTTCTCAGTACAAGGTAAGTTCACATTAAAACATAGCTTCAAGGAAAATATATATCATTCTCTTAAAGGAAAAAATTTAATTGCTAAAACAAAGAAAAAATTCATTTTATCATTTCACATATAAACATATGCCATCTTTCCTAGAGCTTCTTATTAAATTGTCAGTTAACTAAATAGATGTGTTCCAGAAAAGTGATTTTTAAAACACTGTAAACTGGATTGTATTTTTCCCACTGGCTTTCATAATGAGAAATGTATTCTGAAAGAAGAAAGTAAATAGACTCCAAGAAACTCATTTTTTGGATCTAAAATGTCCACTTACAGAAGAAATGAAGAGACGATGCTCATCTCAATTTCTACATTTTATAGAGAACTGTTTCTCTGGACACCGCTGTGATCGGGGGATCTTCACTGGTTCGTCCTATAGCTCTCTGCAGAATGGACATATTCCCCAGGGTTTAATGGGTGGCAGAAAGATCCCATTACAGCTGAAGTGAAACAGATGTCTCTATGACACTGTCCTTCCTTTTGCAGCCAGATTTCTTGAAAGAGTATTCTGTGCTTGATGCCTCTGTGTCTTTATTATTTTCTTGCTTAGTAATCTAGTGCAGTTTGGCTTCTGACACTTTTTACCGAAAAGTCTCCTAGAGCACTAAATAGAAGGGCATTTTCCTCAGTCCTCATTCTTCTTGACTTTGCAGCATTTACTACTAGACTATTGCTGCTTTCTTGTACGTCTCTCTCTGTTTTCTGTGACTTTGGGGTCTCCTGGTTGTGATGGAATGCAAAGTCAGTTATATCTGGAGGTGAATCACAGTTCTGTCACTTATTAGCCAGACTTCAATTTTTTTATCCATAAAAAATGGGGAAAATATCTATTTCCTGGAATTTTGAAGGAGAAAGAAAGCTCTGAGCAGAGTGAAGGTTATGACTATTAAGAAAACTGAAATTGGTGTGCTATGGGTATATTCTGTCTGTGGGAAAATCTATGTGGGAAACCAAATAGTGAGAAGGTTGTTTGAAGAGAGTGAAATCAAAGCAAACAAATCAAGTTAGCTGATTTTCCTCTTTCTTTCTGGGAAATGGACTGATTCATTCTTTCCATTTCACTTGTCCTTTTCTAGTCTTTATGCTGAATACCTCCCTTTTGATAACATATTCTTTCTTTACAGAGAATTCTGAATAATTTTTCCATTTTCAGCTTAGTAGCGATTACATTCTATTACCTCTCCCCTGACTCGGTTCACCCCACAAATCACCTTGACTGTACTTGGGATGATCAAATCTCTGTGGTGACACCTTTATAGAAAAATCTCCTGAGCTACATTTCCAGATGATCTGATCCATTACATTGAGATACTTCTTAATTTACTCTCCTGGTTCTGGGGTCCTATAGTGTCAGCCCTGTATACTCACTACTGTTTTCTCTTTTCCAAAGTAGATGTGATGAGTTCTTTCAACCATTCATGAAAAGACAAGCCTTGCCCACCTTTTACCATCACAGTTGCCTCTAGTTCTGAGACCCTGACAAAGCT